TTATAAAATAATTAAAATATACTTGAATTTTATAAAAACCTCATGTGAACAAAATACACTGGGCTCAGCATGAAAATGCTGTTTTAAGTCACATCATAGAAACAGTTTTGATAATGAGCAACATTAAACATATGGCAAACTGAAAACAAAGCAAGTGCTAACACAGAACGACATCAGAATAACACGTTATCAAAACTATTAATTTTATCAGGATATTGCCAACAGTTCATTATTATATTATACTGGATTTCTGGTACTGTTGCCCAGAATTTGGCTATATTGTATATATTGCTTGGGTGCCCATTATGAAGGCAACATAGTAATTGGCTATAGTTGGTGATCTGCATGTCTCCATAAAAATTCATAATAAAATAAGACACATAAATCACTCTGCTTACCAAATAAGGATACATTTATTTCTCATAAGGAATTTTATTAACTGGCCATCCAACAAGGTAAATCACAATATATTAAAAGTGGGCTTAAGAGAAGATTCTGTGATAAGTAGACATTACCAAAATAGTTAGCCAATTGTAATATGTAACATATTTTGCATTTATCCTCCTAATGCTCCTAATGCCTTCCCATATGTGGTCTCTGAAATAGCAGGTATGAAGACTTATAACATAAGAAATCTAAATGTTATTTGAAATGTTAACATGATTCTATAGAAATCAGAAGAAATTTGAAATTTGAGAAATTTGAGGAGCAAGAAGAACAGACTGAATGGAAGATAAACACACCAGGACAATTATGGGGATTTGGAATAATAGGGAGATGATTTAAGAAATACAAATGGGCTAGCCCTTCCCAAACAAATGACAACTAAATGGTCTCTCTTATTCCAAATAATATATATAATAATAGAGGGAGATCTATTTGATGATTTAAAAGCATTGGCATGAAAGACTAGTTGGCAAAGAAAGCAAGCCAGAATAAGGCTGAAGAAAATTGGGGTTTTGATTTATCAGAGGGGATTTCATATCACTAATTAGAGGGTCAAAGGGAGAAGTTGAGATAAGGGAAATTTTGGTCATTAAATTTAAAACATTTGGAAATTAATTGAAAATAAGGATACTATTTGTTTAATACTTAAAAATTAGACTCAAAAGAAAAAAAATATTATGAATATGTTTGATTTATTGATTAACTCAGATAATATATATAATGGGCTTTGATTTATTAAAGAGGATACTGTATTATTAATTAGATGATGTAAGATGGGGGGGACATAGATAACTTTTAGGAAATAGAACAAGATTATACCCAAATAGATAAGATGTGTATTGAGATAAAGGAAACTTTGGTTACCTAAAACCTGGAAATTTTAAATATCAAATGTTAAATTTGAATATTGATGGGAAACTAAAAATTGGGAAAAACCAATAACAGGACATTGATTGAATGTAAAAGTAATTAAGATATGTACAAGCTAAAAATTTATTGATAAATGTAATAATGATGTTTTTATTTAGTTGATATAATAAGAACTGTATTAGCTTAAATATGAGATAGTAGATATTAAGGGAAAAAGAGAGGAAATATTTGAGGTTGTAGTTTGAGATTTGTACTAAAGATTTTTGTATATTACTGAAGTATTGATTAACCCAGCCACCACGTTGCTTTTTAAATACCTAAATGTAAAATTAGAAAATTAATAAAAATATTATTAAAAAAAGAATTAGACATGATGTTTTTATGGCAGGCATGTCAAATTGCCAACCTGCAGGCCGGATGCATCACGCCAAAACCGCACCCACCCCATTGCTGGCAATGGGGGAAAAGTCACGATACGTTGTGTGACATTGTGAGTTTGATATGCCTGTTCTATGGCAAGATAGAGGATTTGTTGAAGTCCTGCTTGGGATATATCAATTAAGATAAATAGGATTTTGAATTTTAAAAATCCAATTAAGTACAAATGGCACAGTACAATGTGATAGTCTGACTTCCACTATATATATCTGTATGCTTGCTAATCTGCTTCATAAAACTAATGGAGAAGCCAAGGCAGATTTTTTTCAGGATGCTGCACATAGTATAGAAAGATGAAATTATATTGTACAACTAGAAATCCATTATAATATACTGAACAGGCTTTTTTTGGTAAGCTAGAAGTAAGTGAAGTTCCATTTCAATGGGTTTATTCTAAATTTGACTAAATGATGGGCCAACTAATTATTAGTCTGTTCTGAACTTGCCAAATCACTGTTCTTGTTTTCATGCTATGCAGAAAAAACATAAAGAGGAATTAAGAACAAAGATCCAAACATTTTAGCCTCAAATTAAATCTAGCTAACTGTGTTCCATTGATTCTAATAGTTCCAAAGAAAGGGAATCAAAATATTTCTAATCTGCATTAGGATAGCAATGAAAATGAAATGACAAAATAATTATTTTATTTTATTTATTTAACAAGATTTATATGCCGCCCTTCTCCCCATGGGACTCAGGGCGGCTCACAGCATATTAAAACATCATACAAAAAATTTCCCCTACTAAAAACCAATTAAAACCCAAATATTGGTAGCTGTGGCTCTTTAAAATCGTTAAAAATTGTCCCTATTTAAAACTCACCCTAGGTCAGGCCCGCTTGTNGTTCGTTCCAGAGGGTGGGGGCACCCACAGAGAAGGCCCTCCCCCTGGGGGTCGCCAGCCGACATTGCTTGGCCGACGGCACCCTGAGGAGGCCCGCTCTGTGGGAGCGTACCGGCCTGTGGGAGGGAATCTGCGGCAGAAGGCGGTCTCGGAGATAGCCAGGACCGATGCCATGGAGCGCTTTAAAGGTGGTGACTAGAAAGGTTAATAACTTAGCAGAAAAGGAGAGGCTGAGAAAGTGACAGATGGGTGGAGTTAATGAGATCTGAAAAAAAGAAAGATGAGAAATTTAAAGGACAGAAGATAATATACTGCTCACAAAAATAAAGGGAACGCAAACCCCTTCAGTTCCATGGTAAAATGTTCCCTTTATTTTTGTGAGCAGTATATATAAAGTGGTATGTGGATGTGAGGAAAACAAGAATTGTTTGCAAGTGTAAAAGTATGCAACATTTTTAGGTCTTTGAATGATATGCCTGGAGAATTTTCCAAAGTTTGCAGAGCCACAATCAAGAAATAGAAACGGCCAGATTAAAAACTAAATTTGATTTGTTATAAAGTTATCAACATTAAATTTAACCACTATTTCTATATTTAATAATTTTATAGCAGCTAGATTTGGAGGAAGTTTGCATATTATTTAAGCGCCTCAATCTGGGCCATATAACCACATGTATCCAGGAACATTATCTACAGTTACAGACTGAGATTTCAATGGCCTTTTCCTGGTTGCACATATGTGGCCATGCTCCTAATGATTCCTCATGAAGACATTTCATTTAAAATGATATATTGACTTGCTTTCCATTTGGTACATTGGCCGAAGGAGCCGGTCTAGAACCAGGAGACAATGAATTTTAGTGCTATCTTAGGCACGTATGCCATTTAGATGAATCTGGACAGTCACTCTCAGTTAGATCTAGGAAGAAGGCAATGGCAGACACTTCCAAAAAGTGTTGCCAAGACACTTAATCACCAGGAGGTAAGACTTTTTAAAAACTTTTTTTTAAAAAAAACTTGCATTATCATCTGAAAGTACCAAAAAAAAAAGAATTTTGTTTGGTGATGAGCATTTATTAATGTAACATTCTATTCTGAAGTATAATTATGAAATACAATTGCCAGGAAAGGGTTAATGATGTTATTTTTAAATGGCATATGAGGCTAGTGTGAAAAAACAGAACTTTTCAAGAAAATTGTTATATTTCACTATTGTAGTACACTGGGAAAGGAACATTGGTCTATTATGATAGACACTGAATATTTTTTCATTTTTTAATTCACTTTAAACATAAATGCTAGTTTATACCGTATAGATGCAATCCACATATAGTAAAGAAAATAAAAATGCTCCTGGATATATTTGGGAATCTGCCTTCCTTTTTAATTCTTTTCTGTTATTAAGCAACTGTTCACATACATTAATATATAATGCCTTGAAGGATTCTCTGATTAGTTCTTAAAGTGGTAAAGAAACCCAATCGCTATAGATAATATTTCATAGGGTCATTGCAGGAGAAGACATAGGTGCTTTAGAGGCAGTGTTTGTGCCATTGGGTGCTCAGAAATATCTTTTTTAATTGAATCCAGAATGCTGAGCAATTCTAGTGTTTCGTTCTTAGAAGAAGCTGAACATACAGGTAGTCCTCAAATTACAACTACAACTGAGCCCAAAATTTCTGTTGCTAAGCAAGACAATTGTTACTTGAGTTTTGTCCCATTTTACTACTTTTTTTTACCACAGTTGTTAAGTGAATCACTGTACTTGTTAAGTATTCATGTGGTCATTAAATGAATCTAGCTTCTCCCATTGGCTTTGCTTATCTGAAGCTGTCTTGGAAGGTTACATATGATCCCGGGAGGGTGCAACTGTCATAAATACATGCCAGTTGCCAATCGCCCAAATTTTGGTCACGTGGTCACAGGGATACTACAACGATCATAAGTGTGAAAACTGGTCATAAGTCACTTTTGCTAGTGCTGTTGTAATTCCAAATTGTCACTAAATGAATGATTGTAAGTCAAGTACTATCTGTACTACTTTTATACAGCCATATTACACAGACCAATGTAAAATCTTCAATCAGTATCACTTGTGACATCAAAGTGCTATGTCATAATAGATGTAGATAAGCCTCTAGCTGTCTAGACAGCTTTTTTAACTGCATCATATTAATTTGTTTAAAACAAAGAAAAAATTGCCGTTCTTTTTTAAAATACTAATTTGGATTTTATGCACTTTTTTTCTCACTTTGATGTAGAACCTAGGTATATTTGTCTAATCTGTAACAAAAGTGACATACAAAATGCCTGCAAAAAAGTATATTTGTCCCCTTCGTCTGGTCTCATGACCCTAAATATCTTAAAAATGGGTGCTTTGAAGATTTATATCAAATACCTACCGGAGAAAATCCTGGAGGGTAAAGATCCTCCCCCTGACAAAGGATGTGGGGCTGCAATGTTATTTAAGAATCCTTCCCTCAGGAATCTTGGGCAAAGAGACTGGAACCCAATGGCCGGGAATGGTCCTTATGAAAGATAAAAATTGTCATTAATTATAGGCAGTGATTTTGGTTGCTGAAAAGAAACTGTTTCCAACAGAGACAGAGCATGAAAATATGAAAGTTTAATTATTAATTTACAACCAGTTGTATAATCAGCTCATGTCTGTCAAACAGATATTACTCCAAGGATTAAGTTTCATTTTGGTGCCACATTTTAATTGAGGAAAATGTGAGATTTGGAGAAACATCTTTTACTGTTATCAGCTTGGTTAACTATATTTTGTAGTTTTTCATTTATTTTATTTTCCATTTTTTGTTTTTTTCTATTTCTTCCTGTAAAATTTATTAACATAAATAAAAATGAAAAATCACATAATGCTAGGCAAGAAACCATGGTTTACCAATCATGCTAGCACTGCTGACAGATTTTATTAGGCTAAAGCAAGCCAATAAATGTTCATTTGATGCAATGTATGAATTCACTATTGTAGATGACATTTATTAAAACCTCTCCAATGTTTACCACCGTCTTTTTTTTCTTATAGATAAATCTGTTAAACAGGCAAAGTCAGAACATTTTCAGTGATTGTAAACTACATTTTCAATTTGGTTTAAAATACCAATTTCTAACCAATACTTGGATATTATGAGAAACCAGGAAATCTTCTTATTGTTCCATCATACTGTAACAGGTTGGAACAATAATAATCAGAAGAGTTCATAGATTCAGCAAACATCAAAGTATTAATAAGGTCTGCTAATGAAAAACAGTATACAGTTTTGTACATATTGAAAAGTCATGGATAGTAAACCATGAAAATAATCTTTGCCTGACTATTTGAGTTGAGTGAAAAATACAGAAAGCCATAATTATGTATGCCTTATTTGAATTTAATTATTACTATCAGTCATAGGGATTTCCAAATATTCTGTATTTGGAATTTTGGAAACACTTTGAAAAAATTCAAATCTAATATGACACTGTATAACATTTATTTGGAGACATTGCCAATGATAATTTGAGCAGAAAAATAGTCCCCCCCATTGTACATACTATATAAGGAAACTGCAAGTTCACAGCCTTCTTACCGTGTAGGATTTAACTCTCCTTGTCTACTTCCCAGAGTTTCATTACAAAACTTTCAGATGCTTGCTGTTATGCTTTTAATGACTTTTTTGTTTTTTATTTTTTGCAAATAAAACCTCTCACATTTGGTTCAGTCTGGATACCACCATTGATGGAGAGTTAATTATAGGAGGATTTGGTGACTCATTTTGTTAGACTGAATCAATTTGCGATTTGTGATTGCCAAAGATATAGGCTGATTATTTGGAGCAGTAAATTCCATCACTTATCCATCAGATCTTTACCCAATTTGGTTTGTAACTTCTAGGTGGCAGGTTATTAGAGATACCTTAATTTCCCTGATTGCCTGGTTTATATTTAGTAGTGGGTTGAAAAAGGGATAGCAAATTGAAACTGAATCCAGACATGTCAGAGGTGTTCATTGTGAATGTGTGTATTCCACAGAGGTAATAGACATTGCTCTTCTGAACTGGGCTACAATTGTCCTAGAAAGAACAGATGTTCACATAGGGCTGTTTCTGGATTCAACTGTCTCTCTGGTTGCAAGAATCAGGAGTACCCTTTACCAGGTTTGGTTGCTACAACAGTGTGTCTTTTCCTGCAACAAAATAACCTTAATACTGTGAGCCACATGCTGGTAACTTTTAGATATGAGTACCATAGCACACTTTATATGACTTTTGTATTTAACATGAATACCTCAATTAATGTCAAATTTAGCAACGAGGTTGATTTCTAAGAAACCACTCTATGCTGTAGTGAAAATATAGCATTGCACCTGTTTCTAATTTGTTTTAGCAAAAAAAAAAAGTGCTAGTTAAGTGGAAGAATACATCTTTCTATGTAAACTCATACCCCTGATCACTGAGATCATATTAGCAGGCTACAGTGCCATAGGCTCATCTCATCATGTATTGAGTTTTTTCTCTTTATCTGCCACAATTCTTTGTAACCCATTCACTAAGTTAAATGGCTTAATCTCTTTATTCATTTTACAAAAGCCTTTTAGCAATTTTTAATTATTGATTTTAATTTTATCATGACTGGATTAATTGTGATTTGATGTTTTACAATTGTAAATCACCAAGAGACCTCGGTAGGCAGTATAAATCAAATGAAAGAAATAAAGAAATAAAGAAAGAATATAACAGCAAACTCCTGTAAGACTCACATTCCAGTGTTATTGAAGCACAAAGGACGATAATCAATGTAGGAAAATGCTGGAATGCACAGATTTAAAACCTTCTATTCAATATTAGATGTCTATGTCTTAACCAAAAACATGGTTAAGAGGAGACATGGGAACAAAATTCCACATTAAGGGTAATTTACATTACAGTCTAAACTGCTTGTTTGTCACATTGTTCCTGGCTGCTTCTGAAGCTTATTTCATCAGTTCAGATCTGGATTGCAGTGCGTTGGCAAAGATGTCTGGCTGAAGATGTGATTGGTTGTTCCCTTATTAGTAAAGATAAATCTGCCCTGTGACAAAGATCTGTGTTTAATCAAATACTGAAGTTCATGATATTTTTCTGTAATTCATATATCAGAAATTACTTTGGTGAAGAAGAGAAAGATTCCCTGGTTTAAAACCAAAAGATGAAAGGCATGGAATGTCAGATGGGCTTTGAAATTTCATTAATTAGAGTATATTTTTGGAGAATTTGAACTCTGGATCATCAGTCTTAATTCCGGACTTCACTCTTGACTATTTTGATTCTTTGTTCAATCTAATCTTTTATTCATAGACCTCTACTCATATTTTTTTCCTGACAATTATGGGTAGATGTGATGAAATTACATCGTTGTCTTCTCCACAAAGAGAGAAATTAGAAAAGAACCTTTTATTCCTAGAAAAACATAAGGTACTTATTTTGAATTTAAATTGATTCTTTTTATTAATTGAGACTCCACCCTATTTTGAGTTTTCAAAGCCAAAATCAATCTCTATGAGCCAGAGCACTGTGTTTCCCCTTAAACTAAAAAAAATATGGCTGTTGCTGATTTGGTGGGATTTATTCCATCTTGTGTAAAATCAAATCTGTTTTGGACTGAATCTAACATGCTGGAGATCAGTTGACAGGGTCAGTTGATCTCTGTTTGGCATAATCTTAATAGCCTTCATTGATAATCTTAATAGCCTTCATTGATCAAGTTCATTAAGAATATTGTGAGACTAAGTTATTGTCTTTCTTGGGTGTGCTGGTGAAGCTTCACCAAGCAGTTCCTAGCTGTCTCTTTTGATTATCACAAAGAACTTGGTATAGAAAACTATGGGCTAATTAAAAGGAATATTATAACACTACCATTTCCGATCTTCAAATATCTAGACAGCTACCAGAGGGTAGCATGAAATATAGAAAATGTAAATATACAGTTATGATAGTCCTAAGGAAGATCTGAAAGATTAATCCACTGTAATTGTATCTGCACAATATGCATGTATAAGGCCAGACTATTGAGTACTTGCTCACGTCACACCAGCCATCCATCTTTTTTGACACTTACATTTCTGCACCAGTCATATTAGGTAGGGTAAAATAATTAGCGTGTGAAGAATGGAGAGAAGGGAATCTGGATTATTTTCCCTTACTATATAACCTTTAGCCATTTCTTTTAGAAGGCTCAAGGATAAATTTTATTAAGTAGACATTTACTTCTGGCTAAGAGTAGATAATATGGCACTCTCTGAAATCAATCATCTGACTCATTAAAAGGCAGTTTCCTAGGTTCCTGGGAACTCTTTCTTTGTCTACAGAATGTTTATGTTTAGTTGATCAGCTGATAGCCTTAAAAGTCACAGAGTATAAATATTTCACATTTAATAGCATTCGAATTGTAGCTACATGATGACATCATTGGCAGCATAATGAATGTCACACTACTTTCTTTTTGTTGTAGATGCCAAAAACTATCCTATTTTATCTACCACTATCCAGCAACACTTATCAAAATGTATTAGAAAGTTATCCCCCCTGAACCCAATAGAATATATTTGTGTATAAACAGCCACATTCTAATTTTAGTGCCAGAAGTATTTAGAAAAACCAATAAGAAATTAGGAAAATGGGAAAGGTGCCATTTTATGGTTGTAAAAAAAAATCAAACAAACCTATAATATTAATGGATGATTACATTAACTGTAGCAAATAAAGGGATAATAAGTTGTATGGTTTCTCTCTGCTTAATATTAATAGGCATATGGTACAAGGCTTTTTATACCTATGAAATTCTTCTCAAGTGGAATCATGATTGGACAAATGAAGGAATGAACAAAATGTGACTCTCTACAAATCTTACAGTGTTATCAAGCATGGCAGCAGCTTATGAGACAACTTGTAAGTCTTCCCAAATATCAGGGAAAACCCTATTAATCAGTCTTATTTTTTAAAAATGAAGAAATTCATCTAAAATGTCTGCCTATTGATTACTTTAGAAAACCCCAGTTGCAGTTTGTACTGATGTTCACTTCTAATTGGGGGTTGGGGTGGTGAAGAGGAAATGCCAGGAAGTTTAATAACACATTTTGCTTCCTCTGGCTTCTGCTTCCATTATTTTCAAGCTGAACTGCATGTTTGTTCCTCAGAGACAGCCAACACCTGCCTCTCATTATAATCAGGAAAGAAGCAGGTTCCTTCATCTTCATGAGATGCAATTTTGCAGTGATTAACAGAAATGAAAAAAAAAATCCCAGGAAGAAAAATCAACTAAAATATAATTCATTTATATATTCTAAAGTTTACTTAGGCACAGTGACAAAAAGTAATGTTAGCTTTATGTAAATTTAGAAACAAATAAATGGATGATGAATTGCTGAACCTCCTTGCCTAAGCATTATCCTTTTTTTGTACATAATCTGCTTCACTTCACTTCAGAGTGATGCATTCATACCTTTGATTTTATACATACAGGCCTTTATCTTGTTTAATAATCTATTCAGGGCCACATTAGTAATAGCTTGAAAATATTTAGATAACAACAACAAAAAAAACACCACCAAGCCTTCCCCCCATAAAGAGAGACTTTGGTTGTCTTCAAAGGGAGAGATGTTTTTGGGAGGGACAAGGAAAGCACATAGAGAAGGTACACCAAGACGGTATATTTTCCAAAAGGTTGCCCAAGACCTAATGGTCTTGCTAGATAAAGCAAGAGGTGCATATAGCAGGCAGCAGCAACATAGAAAGATGAAGGTAGGTGAAGGTTCGTTCTCCAAGCTTGTGGGTTGGTTTCCAAATGTTGGTATAGGATGAGGGTGAAGGTTCATTCTCTGAGCTTGTTGGTTGGTTTCTGAATGTTTCATTACCAGGCTAGGTAACATCTTCATTGTGTGGGTTGGTTGTGGGTTGATGCTGTCTCCTGTTGGCTGTGCAGTTGATTTGGATTCTGAGGAATACATAGGCTCGGAGAACGAACCTTCACCCTCATCCTATACCCGAGCTACAGATATTCACCACTATTGCATAGAAAGATGTTGGAGGTGAATGATAATTTTAGTGACAATGACTAAGATTGTGTGGGAGAATGCAAGGTAAGCCAGTCCTGTGTTTTATCAAGAACACTACATAGAAAAGCAAGTTAAAGTTGGCAATGGTAAGAAAGAAAATATAATTGGACTGAATAGCTTCAGAAACAGGTTCAGCCATTCCACTATTTATTCATGACTAACCATTCTTCAAACAACCAAAATAACACTAATATACATCAGCTTCATCAAATGAAGCACACTGAAATCAATTTGACTACATTATTGATAGAAGAAAGTTGAATAAATAAGTTGAACAGTAAAAAGATGGCCAGAAGCTGATAGCGAAGCAGATAACAAACTGCACACCTGCAAGTTCTAAGTTAAGCTAAAGTGGAAGAAAAGAGTCAACCACTTTCTGCAACGTGATCTTGAGAATGTGGTCATCATTTTTGAATTCAATACCAGGAATTATTTTAAAGTCATGCACTGATAGGGAACTAGAGGAACTCTGAAATATAATCAAATAAGTTGTAAAGGAAGAATGTGAAAAAAGATTGCCAAAAATCAAGAAATGGAAGAAAGCAAACACATGATGCAAATTGCCAAGAAGGCAAAAGAAGACAAAGCCAAGACAAACAAACCTGTCAGGACCATGACAAAGAACTTCAATTCACTGTTAGAAGAGACAAGAAACAGCACTACAATGTCATCAGCAAAGACATTAAAGATGGAAACAGTAACAGAAAGTTTCCCAAAAGATTTAAAAAATCAGGAGGTTTCAAAAATGACCCCTATAACTGTTTCAAAGAAGATAAGGCAAAGATAGAATATAGGGAAATTCTGTACATCAACTATCAACACCAAAGATATTTAGAAGATATTCCTTATATACAATAATCTCTAACAGAAGAAGATGAAATTAGGTCACCATTTTAGTGATAAGCAAGTCAGAAGACTATAAGAATTAACGAAATCATCTATCATGCTTGCTTGCTTCCTGGACTTTGTGTTCACAGTCAAATGCATACCGTTCACTCTACTGCCTGATACTGCTCAGTGCTGTTTGGCTGCCAAAGTCTGGCCAACACTCAGTAGGCACCTATGCTGTAGCCTTATATCCTGGTCAGATCTTTCCCTCCTACCTGTTAGGACTGCTCCATTAGGACTCAAATTATTCTTTAAACTGATTTTGCTTTTTGCTGGCATTGTGACAGCAGCATTCTAAGTCTGGCAAACGAGGCGTAGCATGCTATAAGCCAAAAAAATACTGAATTGAATGCTCATTGCTTGGCTGCTTGTGACTTTATGCACATAGAAGTAGGCTGAAATGAGCATAGAGCAGTTATTACACAAATATAAAATTCATTCTTCAACTTTATCATACAGATTTTCAAATAGTTAAGCTAAATAGTTATTTCAACACATTCTTGTATCCTTCACCATTTTTGGCTATAGAACTGAAAAAATGCCTATCCTAGCTCATCCAGCAGCAATAACAAAAATAATCTTTTTTTTCATTCAACAATCAGAATTCCAAAAATAGACAACAAAACATATATTGAATGCAAACAAAAATAAAATCAGGTGAAACTCTACTGTCGTTACGATCAAATGTTGAATTCTGCAAACCATAAAAGAGACTTTTAGCACATAAAAAAAACACTATGTTAGCTAGAGAGTAGCAACTATACTATAGATAAAAAGTTAATTTAAATGATTATAAAATATAATTGTGCATTTTTATAAAAAGAGTAGTGCAAGGGAACATGGATGATAGAATAAATGGTCCTTTACCACAATGAGAAAATCTTAATGTATATAAGGTTTTTTTAAAATTCTCCTCTATAACAGCTATTAAAATATATTAAATGTACTAAATTAAAGTTTTTTAAATTTGGTGACAATTATTTTATTTATTTGTTAAATTTATTTACCACCTATCTCACCATGGGGCTACTCTAGATGGCTTACAACAATAAAAATAAAGAAATGAAAAGAGAAAACCATATGTTAACATATTGCTTAAGCACTGATATCCCTGCAGCCCTGGGGTGGCTGTGCTGGGGGGTGGTAGGAAGGGTGCCGAGGTGGGAACGGCCAGGCTGATGCTCCTCCAGCTGGAGCGGGGGGGGGGCTTTGCCTCAGGGATCCGGGGAGGCCACCTTCCTGGCCTGGCCAGGCCCGCCTAAGAGGTAAATGGGGAGGCAGCAGCCCAGGACTAAAGCATCAGGTGGAGCACCGGAGCCTTGGGGAGGGAGGGTGCTGAAGCGAGTGGGCGGCCTGCCGTCAGCACCCATGGTGGCTGCCCCTTCCCCATGGAGCTGGAGAGCTTGCCACACCACCGGCCAGATGCCCTTGCTTTCCCCAGGAATTGCATTTCTTTGCTTACCTGACTTCCAGCCCCATCCCATTTCTCCTTCATAATCTGCTGCCATGTGCAGAGAAACAAAAGAAGTTTGTGGGGGAAAAAAAGGTCAATCAATCAATTCCAACTTCTCACGAAAAAAAAAAGATCTCGCGAAGTTGGAATTGATTGATTGATCTTTCCCCCCCCACAAACTTCTTTTGTTTCCCTGCATGCGGCGGTGGCGGATCATGAAGGAGAAATGGGATGCCCACTTGCTTCAGCTCCCTCCCTCCCCGAGACTCCAGCGCTCCACCTGATGCTTTGGTGGCTCTGTGGGCAGAACTACAAAGAGGACCAGGTGGCTGAAAGTGCTAGCAGTCTGGTTCGGGAATGAAAGGGAAGACACTGGCCAAGTGAAGGGGAACCTGCCCCACTTGTTCCGCAGCCACTTTTGCCAATTCTCTATTCTGTCGAATTCAAGAAAGGGATTGTGGAGGACTCTCGGGGCAAGAATCGTACAGCTTTCTGCAAAGAGAACAAGTTGGATCTCCGTATGGTCCAAAAATGGTGAGCAGAGTACAATAACCTCAGCCAACAGGTGGATGAGGGAAATGCCAGGAAGTGAAAGTGTGGAGCAGGTAGGCAGCCATTATTTCCTGAACTTGAACACAACATCTGTGACTGGATTGCTGACAGGAGAGCAAAGGCTTTGGTTATGCGCAGGGCTGACATTCAAGCATTTGCCATTGCACTGGCACCACAATTAGAAATATCCGCAGAACAATTCAAAGCATCACAACACTAGTTGGATGGCTTCCTTCAGTGATATGAAGATCAACAACACTGTTCAAGCTGCAGGATGCTGAACTTATTAAACATACACTTTCATTCAAGTCCTTTGTTGATGGCATCGACTTTTCAAAGTACCAGTTGTCAACATGTTTGCCATGGATGAAACTGCAGTGTTTATGGGCCAAGCATCTCAAACAACAGTTGATCAGAGGGGTGCCTCATCAATCTACATTCCGTCCACTGGTTACGAAAGTTCATGTGTTATCTGCATTTTGGCAATTCATCGGGATGGAGCAAAAGTCCCACCTCTAATCATTTCTAAGGGCAAGAGAGATAAAATTGAACGTGTTTCAGGGATTTATGTTCTTGAAACTGGAAAAGCCTGGTGCTCACAAGCTATGATAAGGAAGTGGGTTGATTTAATGCTGCCACTTGTTTTGCGAGGTGGGCAAAGAGATCTGCTAGTCTGGGATTCAGCCAGCACTCACCATGCAAAAGATGGAGAGAGAGGAATCGACCAAATAATGATTCCTGCAGGAATGACTGCCTATCTCCAGACTCTAGATATTGCAATAAACAAGCCATTCAAGGACCACTTGCACAGGGAAATCGGTGACTACATTGAACACAAATGGAGAGAAATCAGCGTGGGAACTTTGTGAAGCCTAGCCTGTCAGAGGTCGTGACTTTGGTGAAGCATTCCTGGGATAAAATCACTGACAGCTGTGTTACCAATGCACTATGAGCAGGCTACATGGAAAGAAGTGCTCATTTAGGGAGACTGCTATTGCTGGACATGAGAGGTTGGGGCCAATGGTTCTAAAGGAACTGGAGTCTCAAGAGGTGAAGGCCAGAATTTGGGGTTTGGGAGAGTGTGAAGATATTTCAGAAGATGACATGACTGTTTTTGAATAAATTGAATAAATAAATGGTTGCTGTACATCACCATTGTGGTTGTGGTTGCCTTGAGTGGAGTGTGGGTTAGCGTTGGGGTTAGGCATTGCGGTTGTCCTGTGTGGAGTGTGGGTTAGCGTTGGGGTTAGGCATTGTGGGTTAGAGATGGGAAGGCCTGGGAAAAACTCAGAAAACTTGTGAAAAAACAGGTTCCCCTCCCCCGTTTGTTTCCAAATTGCTTTGGAAACTTTTCCATTTTTTTCCTAGGGTTTCCCATCTCCCGTTAGGGCTGGGGGGGAGTGGGAGTTAGGGTTACTATAGGCATGGGAGGTCAAATGGGGGGATCCACCAAGCCTTATGGCAGCAGCATTGGGCATGACGCATGAGATGGCAAACGTTTGTGGCCGGCGGCAAACAGCCATTTGCTACCTTGCGCATTGCGCCCAAGGCTGCTACCATGAGGCTTGGTGAATCCCCCCATCTGACCCATGTGCCGGTATATCAGTTCCTTACTGCCGCCCGGCTTGTTCTGCAGCCTCATGGCTGCAGCATTGGGAGCAATGCACGAGGTGGCATATGGCTGTTTGCCGCCGGCCACAAACGTTTGCCATCTCATGCGTCATGCCCAATGCTGCTGCCATAAGGCTTGGTGGATCCCCCCCATTTTACCTCCCATGTGGCCACCAGCCACAGCCCTTTGCTGTCTCGCGCATCACGCCCTATGCCACTGCCATGAGGCTGCGGAACAAGCCAGGTAGCAGTAAGGAACTGGTATACTGTGGGTCAGATTCCCCCTCCCCCATTGGCTTCACCTCATCGCAGAGGCACTAGCAGCTTCCCCCCACTTGTGTCTATGGTGAAACCAGATGGAATCAGTGGCCATCTGTCTCCGTAGGCTCTTGAGTGGGGCTTACTTTCGGAAGAGGGCTTATATTAGTCCCAACCCCAAAAATTAGCTGGAGTTACTGGTCTAATCTAATATAATGTAATAATAATAGAAATAAAGTGCATTGTTTATTTGTTTGTTTATTTAGACAATTTAGAATAAATATAATGCACTTAAATTATCCTGAACCCTTCCCCCCTCCCCCAGTCCATGGAAAAATTGTCTTCCATGAAACCATTCCCTGGTGCCAAAAAGGTTGGGGACCTCTGCTTTAAAGCATAAATATTCCAGTTATTTATGAACAAAAACTGTAATTGACCTAAATTCAGCAAATGAAGTTCATTACAAGAGCTCACAAGAAAAAAAAAAAGTTGAATGAATCCCAAGTGTGTTCTGTCCTCAGAACTTAAATACTTTTTGTGTGTTTGCTGCACTTCCTACTTCATGTGAGTAGCTACTAACTCCTGTTATTAAGCACCGGAAGCATTTTTTTTCAACATCATATATAAGAAATCCTAAAGAGGTAGAACTGTCTTCAATAACTGCTTATATATTATCCTGGGTATATCTAATGATGCAGCCCAGATAATATTATTGCAGTGTTCTGCAATTAAATCTTGCTCAGCTTTGCCAGTCCATAATGAAAGAAGAGGGAATTAGGCATATTCAATTGTAAGGATCAAGCAATGCTGTTAAAAAGATTCATGACTTTCATTTAACCAAGGGGGTTTTTTTGGCAGTGGTTTGCATTGTTGATAATGACCTCATTAATGGATTCC